CCAAAATGTCCAATTTTCTCTCTCATCAAACACCTTTCACACTTTTCTTCATCTTCTCTCTTAAATCCACCAAATTTTCTCTAAAATCCATTGTAACTGCTCCAAATCAAAGCAAATCACATCGATTCCTGTATATTTTTGCTCAAATTCAACGAATTTTATTCATAAACTTATATAAAATAAGTTGAATTGGGCAATTTAATTAGAATTTTTGTAAATACAAACCCTAATTTGACGGAAGAACAAATTGAAAAAAAATTTGAATGGAGGTTGGCGAAGAACAATTAATTCGTATAGAAATTTGTTCTAAAATGCAACGTACTCCAATATTTTCAAAGATTTTGATGATTTTTTGGGCGATTTTCGGGTAATATTTTGTATACTAGTCTCATTGTGTTGTATCTATTCGAATTAATATTTGTTGTTTGCTTAACATGCTTTGAATTAATGTTTATGCTTATATTCTAAATTTATATGTATTGTTGTATGATTTGTTGGTTAGTGTGAGATGGAGGTGGCTAATTCAGGTTGTTTGGAGGGTTGAATTGAGGAAACTGGGCTGAGTTTGTGTGGAACAGATTATCAGTGCCTAAACACAGATTTTATTTTTGGTTAGCAATGTGTATGAGACTCAAAGACTCGGGTCAGATTCTAGAAATTGGCTATGTGTGATGATGACAGGTGTGTTTTTGGTTAGCAATGCCTTTTTTGAAGCATATTTATAAATGGCTTAATAACTCTGCTCCTATTGGGAGCTATTGTAGCATTCTGAGATATATTCAAAGAATCCAGAATTTGACTAAATTTCATAAACAGGTTGTCTTTGCGGCTTTAGCTGTCTAGCTGAAGCCCAATATTGCATTTGTTGTTTGAGGAATGCTATCACATGGAATTAAACAAGGGACTATTAATGCTGATCAAATGATTATTCGGCTTAAGGAGAATGTAGTTGGTAGAATTAGATATTTGCCATGTAAAATGAGTGCTAAAAACAGAAGTTGGTTTGATAATATATGATGTATAAGTTTCTTTCGCTGCTTGTTTTGATAATATGTGATGAGCAACGATTCTTTGCTCATGTATCAAATGAGCAACAATTCTTTGCTCATTTATCAAATGAGCAAACAATTTTTTGCTCTTTTATCAAATGAGCAAATAATTGTTTGCTCATTTATCAAATGAGCAAACAATTGTTTGCTCATTTATCAAATGAGCAACAATTCTTTGCTCATTTATCAAATGAGCAAACAATTCTTTGCTCATTTATCAAATGAGCAACAATTCTTTGCTCATTTATCAAATGAGTAAACAATTCATTGCTCATTTATCAAATGAGCAACAATTTTTTTAATTTATCAATTGGGCAACATAAGGTGGAAAAATTTTGAACAAAAATATAATTTAAGACATATATTTAGAGCTTAGGTAGAAAATTCTAGAGCATAAGCGAAAAATTTCAGAATGGTTGCAATAAATTTTGGAACATATTCAGTAAATTTTAGAACATATGAAAAAAACTATTTATAACATATGATAAAACCTATTAACTCAACTGGTAGAGCACTATGCAAATGCATAGGATGTAGATTCGATTCCTACATAGGTTATAACTATAAATAACTAAAAAAAATTAATTAAAAATAAAGAAAATTAAATTAGCAAAAAATTGGCTTGAAATGATTAATAACTATAGAAACTTTGCTAGAACTAAACTCTCATATAAACGCTTTGTCTCCTCATTACACAAATGAACCTACATGGGATTCGAACCCACATCTTTTGTGCATTTGCACAATGCTCTACCTATTGAGCTAGTAGGTTAATGCAAACTAAATTCAAATGAGCAAACTAAATTCAAATGAGTTTACCTTATACCTTATACCAACCCGCCTCAGGCTTCTCCCATTTCTACAAAACAGTAGCAGTATCCAGATTAACAGTTGATGTAGCTTCATTGGCTTTCTCATACTCTCCAATTATGCCCATAGCTTTTTGTTGAATCCCAGCTAGATCAACCATCTTCCCTTCAAAAACCCAGGCATTTCATCGCAACCATATACCCCAAAGCAGACTCCAGAACATGCTCCACCATTCAATATCAGTGTGCACCATCTCTATCTCTAAGCACCACTCCAAAAAAGATCCAACCTCAAAAGTGCTAAGGTCGAGACTTAGTGGAGAAGTATACCAAATGTTGCCCTGTTACATAATGCAAGAGTATGAAGAGTTTTCTCACTCTCTTCACCACACATAGGACACAAAATATCAACTGTCGTTCCCCTCCCACGCATAGTGATGGTAGTAGGTCATAGGGGAAAATATACAAGTACTAAGGGCATTTGATAAATTAACAAAGAATATTTGCTCAAAATATATGTTTTAACTTATTTTTATATGTTCAATCTATGAAAAGAGCAAATATTTTGCTCATCTATGATGAGCAAAAATATTTTTGCTTATCTATGAAATGATTAAAAATATTTTCTCAATTACGAAATGAGCGAAATATGTAATGAGCAACATTGTTTTGCTCTTTTGCATCAATCAGCTGAAATGAGCAATATTTGTTTACTCATTTTAAGAAAAGGGTAATCATAAGGAAAAGTTAGACAATTAGAACAAAGCAATAGTTGAAAGGTCATAACATAAATGAGCAAATAGTTAGTTGCTCATTTGTCAAATGAGCAAACATTTCTCAAATCATTCATTAAATCAACAAGCATTTCTTTACTCATTTGTGAAATGAGCAAACATTAGTTTGTTCATTTGTCAAATGAGCAAATAATTACTCCCTCCGCCCGCTATTATTTGCAACATTTACTAAAAATGGATGCTCTCTATTATCTGCAACAATTTTTTTTTCCTCTTTTGGTAAATTTTTACTAGAAAAATGTCAGTTTTACCCTTACTTAAAATTTTATGACTTTGTTTATAATTGATTAATTACACACATTTAACACCTAACTATCTAACACCCCCTTAATGATTCCCACCAAATTATAACCCCCTACCCTACTGTCTCATCACCATCCTTCCATCTGCCAACCACCACATTCAATGAACTTCATTGAATTTTCCTTGAAGATGCTGCCCAGAAGCATTGAATTCTTCACGAATTCTCCAGAATTCTTAATAAAGCCTTTTCCCCTCCCCCTTTCTCTCTATTGTCTCACCCCTTCTCTCCTCTTCTCTCTTTGGTGTTCTTCATATTTTCTGTGCGAAACCCTAAACCCAAAATTCTTCAGATCTCTCCAAAATTATGAGTAACTTCCAAGATCTGGATGAGTCCCCTAAACGAAAGACCCCAGAGAGTCAAACTGAGCCATCTTTCACTCGCTACAAGTTAGAGCGAGGTATTGGGATCTTGAAACCAGTTCGTCGGTGTTCTTCCTCCTTTTCCCGATTCAGTCATGCGAAAAGAGGAGCGGAACTGGTTGAGAACACCAGCAGTGGTGAAGAAAAGGAGAAGGGTGCTACGCTATTCGTAGAGAAGAAAGAAGTTGTGGTCATTCCTCACTCTTCGGAGGGTTCCAATACATATCTACCACTTAAGGGGGTCCGGAAGGAACCAGTGGTGGTGGTTGACGTTCCTGACTCCCCACAGGAGGTGACTATGCTACGGCCACCTCTGGCTTCGACAGTGGGAGGAAAAGGTCTAGATCTGTGTTCATCGACGACTACAATCAGTGGGACCCTGACTACATGACCTATTTGAGGGACAAATACCCTCATGACTTCCCCCACACAAACATATGTTGCAATGTAACTATTACTAAACCCTAATTTTGTTTTAAGTTTTTTTGATTTCGCTTTGCCTTGTGTAAATGGTTTTTGTTGGTGCATATCATTGTGAAACGCATGTGAAGTGTGTGCGTGTGAGTCCCTACATGTGTTTGTTGCTGGATTATGATGCTTGAATGTGTTGTTTTGGAGTCTTAGAGTCTTGGATTATGCTTAGTTCTGTGAAAGACGGTTGCTTGTGTACACTTCTGGTTTTTCATTCTATTGGATGGTTGTTTGTATACGTTGCTAGTTATTGATTAAGTATGCCTGGTTATGTAATTGTGCATTGATTCTATTGGATGGTCTGTGTTGGATGGATTCTGGTGGATGTTCTTTGTTGGATTTGGTGGTTGTTTGTGGTGTTGGAATGGCCAAGGGAATGCATGATTGATGGATGATGGGTTATGTTGGATGGTTGTTTCTGTACAGTCCCATTTGAATGTTGCCTAGGTGTTCTTGCAAGTCAGTGCTTGTGTGTTTGTGTATGAGTCCCCAATAAAGTTTGTTGAGTGTGAAAAAATTCCAAATGATGAATGGACTCACTTTGAGTTGGTTGTGTAGGTTTGTTTTGCTCCAACAAGTGTCTTTTAACTCTTGTTGTTGAGGTAACAACCTACACCATGCCACTAAAACAAAACCAAAATCCCTGATGGAATTCATTGTTCAATATTCATACTGAAATTCATTTAATAGACTTCAAAAACTTACATTTTCACATACCCTACACCTAATCATTCATTACATGACTGCCTGGGAAAAGGACATTTTATCTACCAAAATACACATAACCAAATCATAGCATCAACAAAAAAAACCAATTGCTTACTTTACACCAAAACCAGTTCTGAGTCCATATTTGGTTATGTGTGGAAGTCTTGTTGTCATTGAATGATGGTGTTGTACCTAGTCTGCATCAACCTCTGTCTCCATGTAGTCTGCATTCTGTTGATTAGTTGGGATAAAAAGAGTGTTGAGGTGTTCATCTGCATGTTGAATGAGTCCCCTTTCAACTTCCAAAAACTCTGGCAGAAGACCTAGGCTGTCCAACCTTTTCTTGCCCATGTGTGTGGATTGAAGTTGTTCCCCCCTTCTTTCTCTAAGATCTTTTTCATTACACCTTGCAAAGTGATCCATGAGTACTTGTTCAATACTAGATCAAACCATTCATAAGCCTCATAGACTTTCTCTATTGACTCATCAATTTTAGTGGGAAATGACTAGTATTGCAAGGATTGAATGACCTTGAACAAACCAAAATCCAGTACATTCAAATCTGGAGATTGTGCTGGCTGGAATACCATTTGGATGTTGAATCCATGTGTTGTACATGCTGTAATGAACTCATTATCCCTTGGAATTTGATGTGGCTTAGCATTGTCCCATTGAATGTATATGTCCTTAGACAGACTGGGATGCCATTGCCTGTAAAGTGCTGGAATGATGTTGGTCATGAGCATTTTCCTGATTTCTTCTTTGGTCACACTTTGCACAACCTTTGTCTCCATGACCCTTGCATCTCTATTCTTGCTTTTCTTCTTTGCCCTTTGCTGGTAGGTGAATGGAAAAATTCCATACTTACCATCATGTAGCATATATCCACTTAAGTCATAAAGGGGCTTACCAATCATCCCGATGAACATAGCCTCAATCTTGTATCTCTTGGACTGCATGCTGACATCTGTATGGGTTTTCTTCCTTTGTAAGAGGTAGAACCTCCTTGTTTCTGGGTTCATATAGAACCATTTTTCATCTATATGTATAACCTATTGCATATCAATGAAAGTTGGATCTCCAACTGCTAGGATAGGGTGAATATGGGCTAATGCCCACTTGAGTCTTGCCACTTTGTGATTTGATGTGAATGCTGGATGGTTGGCGCTTGTATGTGTTCTTAATCTGCCCTTTTTCTTCAAGCTATGGAGGTATCCATGTGATACTTTCAGAGCAGCTACATAACTCCTCTATGTTGTCCTTTTGTATACAGGCACTGATTGCAAGTACTCATCTGTAATAATTCTGGGTTTGGGTCCTGTTTTCCCCAATTTTTTGCTTCTGACATCAATGACATTCCTTTGTGCTATACTTTGTTTTACAAACTGCAAGACCCTCATTGATGTGCTTCTATGAATTTTATATTTTCTTGCCATTTGTGACAAACACCCTCTGGGTAGTTCCCCACCATGCATGTGCAATAGGAAGTCATCAACAATTTGCCGTTTTTGTTGCACTGTTAATTGCTTTCTACTTATTGGTTGTGCCTCTTCCTGATGTTCCTCTACACTACTGTCCCCTCACTGTCTTCATCCATGCTGTCATCATCTGTGTTGTACTCCACTGGTCCCTCATTTAGCAGTTGGTCTATGTCAAAAAAATCATGATCATAGTACTCCTCCATGTGCTGTGTGTCCCTTTCTCTTTGCTTCCACAGATTTGAAGGATGGTGATGTAGTTTTTAGCTGCTGGTTTTTTTGGAAGTGGTGTTGAAGCGGAACCCCGCTGCTGCCCTTATTGTAGGACTAATTGTAGTGTAGGCAGTAAATATTTTGACTTAACAAGCTTTTAATTTATGGGGTATTTTGTGAACATTGTTGGATGCTTTAAATGCCCATGGTGGGTATGGTTGTTTTTGAACAAATTTGAACAAACTTGTATGCCTTTTATACTAGGCACTTTATATTTGAATAGTTTGTCATTTATTTTTGGTTAAATTTAATGTTTTGGTCAACTTTTGGTTTTTGGTGGGAAATCAAAAAAATTGGCCACGAAATTTGATTTCCACCAAAAATTTGAAATGGGGAACCATTTCACAAAAAAGGGTGGGAATCAAAAAATTGGTCAAAAAATTAGGAGGGAACCATATTTCCCTCCTTTACCCACCGAAATTCAGAATAATAGGGGGGATTAGTGGTCCCCTCCACCACCTTTTACCCACTATCTAAAACCTACCCAAAAACAAAAATAAGTGGGACCCCTTCTTTCCCTCCATTTTCCACCTTAATTAAACCACCCAAATTTAATTAAAACCCCCTAAAAGTTTTGCCTACGAGTCTGCATTTTACTCCTTTGTTGCGGATAACTCCGGGCGGAGGGAGTAGTTACTCATTTGTAAAATAAGCAAACATTTCTTTGATCATTTGGGAAATGAGTAATCAATTTTTTGCTCATTTAGCAAATGAGCAAATAATTAGTTGCTTATTTATCAAATGAGCAAATACTTAGTTTCTAATTTAACAAATACTTAGTTTTTCTTTCTCTAATGTTTCCTTTAAAACCTTTTTCCGTCGTCCTTAGAAGCAACTGTCTTGAACTTCCTTCCCTTATGTTGTGGCTGTGTAGAACCACCAACAACTCCTAACTGTGATGCCCCTACTGTATCTTGGTCACCACTAACAACTCCTAACCGTGCTGCCCATGCTGCATCTTGGTCATCACCAACAACTCCTAACTGTGCCCCTGCTGTATCTTGGTCACCACTAACATTAGGAGCAGGATCTATCTCAACAGATGTCTTGCTCATACAAAATATTAGAAAACATATCAATTTGGGTAGCCTTGATGTTAGTGGGTGTCCTCAGCTAAAGCACATGCCATCAGAATTAGCAGGATTGACTTCTCCTAATAGCATAAACTGACCCTAAGGAATAAACTGGTACAAACTATAAATTGACCCTAAGGAGTATGTTATGATAGAGAAGCATAGGCTAATAAATTATCTAATGAACAATTGGCAAATAAGCAATCAATATTTTGCTCATTTGTCAAATGAACAAATACTTAGTTGCTAATTTAACAAATGAGCAAAAACTTAGATGCTTATTTGTAAAATGAGCAAATAGTTTGTTGCTCATTTGTCAAATGAGCAAACGTGTATTTAATCATTCATTAAACCAGCAAGCATTTCTTTGCTCATTTGTGAAATGAGCAAACATTAGTTTGCTCATTTGTAACATAAGCAAATAATTAGTTATTCATTTGGAAAATAAACAAACATTTCTTTGATCATTTTGGAAATGAGCAATCACTTTTTTGCTCATTTAGCAAATGAGAAAATAGTTAGTTACTCATTTGTCAAATGAGCAAATACTTAGTGCTAATTTAACAAAACTGCAACTCCATACTAAAAATACATTTCATTAGATATGCTATACAAAATCAAAAACATGATATTTCATAAATGAGCAACAAAACATAAAATGAGCAAGTTTTATCCAAACAATAACTATTATACTAACCAATAAAACATAACATGAGCAAATAAGAAAACACGTACATGAGCAAATAACTAGTATCATTAAAGGTTTTTTAACTGTTGTACAAGAAAAGTTAGTTAAATCAACTATAATTTACATTTCTCAATCAATAGACACAACTAATGCAATTCTCCAATAAAATCCATCACCAACAGTTAGTTCAAAATACTTGTATTATTCCTATTAAAAATTTGATCCTTAAATAAAAGAAAAGGATGGGAATGAACATGCATAGTATGAACACTATTATATAGTTCTAGAGTAAATAATAGAACCAAACTCCTTATTTCTCTCTGACTACGACTTTCCATAATTTAATATAAATCCTGCAACTATATAATACGAGGGAGGTTTACCCTTGCTATGTGCTGGAATGAGCCTTCTGTGAGTACCAAGTTTAATGTTGAATGTGTGCACTGCCGAATCATGCAGTACCTTGATTTCAGCCGAATCATGCAGCATGGGTCACATTAGGCATTATCAGCAAAAGTAAAATTTGGTTCAATCAATCTATAATTTCATTTGATATGTAGCAGCACAGAGCAGAAAAGGCAGTATAGTGCACTAGAAATGCATAATTCAATGCTGACCAATATCCTACTTTGCATCCTCTGACCACAAAACAATGTAGAGCAATCAAATCCTATCAAGGGACCCTCCTTAAATCAGCAATGATAACATAAGTAGCAATTAAACCAAATCCAATTCCCAGTTGAGCCAGCTACGGACTAGAATCAATTTAAGACCAAAAATCTTCTTAAAGACTCTAAGAGAGTAAGAGCACATTAAATTTTAATCAGACAGTAACAAATCAACAACTCAAATGCTAAAAGGGGGTGGGGGGAAGAAGAATAAAACATTACATACAAAAATACATTTTGTTAGGACCAAGAGCTTCAAGAAAAAGGGAAAGACAATGGATTCCTTACTTCCCCTGTCTTTAAAAAACTCTTTAATTACTCAACATAAAAGAGGCCATACATTGCAACCAAAGTAAAATCAAACCCGAACAAAACAAAAGGAGAACCACAACGACATTCATACTTTACATATTCATGTCGAAGATCAACCCAACATGTAACAATGACTGTCAATTTTTATGCCTGATCTCATTGAGTCATCGTTCCTATAAACAAAATAGCAGGATTATTGAAACTTCAACAGTTCAACTAATTCCAGAGAAAGAAAAATATTATTGAGAGTTGCTTGATTCCTATCAAACAAAAATCAGAAACCTTCAAAAGAATAGCATTACAAAGATTCATTAAACCTGCAAATTTTAGAAATAAAGGTAAAATAAAGTACAGTTGCAGCATCCACAATATACAAACTCTTGTTTTACCTACATAGTCAGGTTGGAAAATTGACTGCCAGATATATGGACATTCAGACTTTTCATGTATATCACAGAAGAATTATTTAACTTTCGGAGAAAGCCAATATCCATAATTTAATGTGCTCACACTACACACGATACACTGGACACCAACACAACTCTCCCAAACAGCCACACAACTACACACAACACCACAGCCATTTCAGCCGCAATATTGATACTATTCGAAGGAAGCAAAATATGATTTCAGCCATTTCTATCACTAATGAAACACAAATATGCATATAGCAGCATTACCAAATCATGCTAGAGAACTCAACATACAACTCCACATCTATACAATGAAGTTAAAGTCTCACATTCCATGGCTAGCCTAACATACAACTACCACACTCTAAAGGCAGAATGGGCCACAAATACATGCTAAAATACAATATGTAATTATGATCAAGAATAGCAACTTATGCAAATTATGATTACCCCTCGGACTAAATGATATGTATTTAGTTAATTAGAACTCAAACATATGTAACATCATATCAGAGACTTTTATCAAACACTTGGTGTGCACATTACATTCCCTAAATTAGAACTCAATTATTATTACCTTAAAACACAAAACATTTACACTGTATTATTTGACAAGTAACTAGAAAACATCAAAACATTACATGTCCAAAAAATAAACACAATTACATGAAATAATTGAGCAAAAACGGACTTAAATGTCCACAAAAACACAAAATCAGAAAACTATCATCAAAATTATCGACACAAACACAGAATTCATAAAATTTTATGATGAAATTGAAAAAATCGAACACAAAGTGATAAACTAAGCCAAAAAAATCGAACACAAATTGAACAAATTAAGCCAAAAAAACCGAACACAAATTGAAAAAATTAATCCAAGAAAATCGAACACAATAAGCGAAAATCACCTTGACGAAGAATTGATGAAGTTTGAAGAAGAATTGATGAAGAATCAGAGTAAATAGCAAAGGGAAATAGAGCATAGAGAACTACGAATTGAGAGATTGAAGGAGGAGAAAGAAAATAACTTGCAAAATGAAGGAGGAGAGAGAAAACGCTGATTTTATTTATTTTTTTTTAAATTATGTTTGGCCGGGACAAATGGTAGCCATTGGATGCAATTGATCCAATGGTTGTAATATGTCCTCACATATACCTGGTTCTCACATAAGGGATGTGATCTCATATGATCCCATTTCTATATATATATATATACACACACACACACACACATTAAGTAATTTTACATTGATGTTTGACTGTGCAAACAATTCCATACCCAAAATGTTTATCTAAATAGTTCAAGTAATATTTGCTAATATATAAACCTATATAAGGACATTATAAAACCAAATTTTATATGTATTTAATTGTCCAACAATATTGTCACAATATTCCCATCATCATTCTTCCTCCTTGATATACACCATGTGGTTCATCATCATATCACCATGTACCTATATATATATATAAAACAAACAACTAAATTACATTAGATAATAAAATCATTAAATCATATCACTCTACATAAAAAAAAAAAAGTTAGTTTAATTTCTTATTAGATAAAATTGCTAAAGAAGGCAATAATACATATTTGTCATAATACAATGATATATTGATATCAAGCAAGCCTATATAATTTTTTTCAAAAAAAAGCAAGCTTATATAATTAATCTAAGTGTCAAGAAATTAAATCAAGCCACAAATTCATAATTAACACTTTAATTTAGAAACACCCATAAATATTAATCCAAAAAAATAGATGAAAAATGAAAC